TCAAAAAATGCCATGTTAATCTACCAACCAAAAAACATTTAATTCTAAATAATTTATAGCTCTTTCCAGGTACGAAGAAGTTAATTACAATCTAAACAACGACATACCCCAACATCATCAACAAGCATCTTATCCAAGCCAACCGGTCCTAATGACGATCTTACAATATTTGCAATAGCTGCTGCCGCCATCACTAAAATATGAGTGTTATCAATTAAAATATACAATAAAAGCAACTGTAGTACATGCCAATAAATGGCCAACCATTTTGAGTCCGTATCGACTGTCCAGTTGTTCGCTTCCCAGTTAATGCTAATATTGCATCACCAGCGGAGGCCATTGTTCTACCCCAAGTGACAAGGAAAAGATAAAAATATCGGTCTGAATTCCATAAATTAAAGGGTACATACCATAGATTGATGCAAAGTACCGTTCCAACTTTTGTGATAACCAGTTGGTAAATTCAAAAGATAAATAAAAAGATTTAAAAAGATAAATAAATAAACGAATAAATCTACTTATCTAAAAACTTCCTATCAAACACTCACATGTTCGTAAAAAAACAATTTCTCACAAGTTTGCCTCGAACGTCACATTAAACCAACGACACAGCAGTCAAAACAAAGAGAGAGATACACAAGATGAAATTGTGTTTTGCATATAAGTCAAAACCCATGAATATACAACTTAGAAACCTTGTTAAATCCTTCGCTCTTCAGCCTTACAAAGAGTTATGAAAAGACCTGAACAGGAACCTCAGTGAAGGAAAAACCTAAGAACAGTTTTAATGAAACTTTCACCACCAAATTTTTGAAAGTTTCTTCGCGAGATCCAGCTCTATAACTACAGCCTTAAAATTAACACCCACGATGCTGATTGGACCAGCAACTATACTCGGGTTCATTTCTAATTTCACTTCCAAGAATTTTCGTGGCAGGACCCCAGATCACGGTATTGCGGCGAGTCTGGCAACCTCTAAAAATGCTGGTTTGCCTTCAAATCAAGGCGTATTTACCTGTCTAGTATCCAGAGTTTTGCGGAGATTTTGGCACGACTATGTTCGGCACATCCGTGGCTACAAAATGGTTTCTGAATGTTGGTGATTTGTGAGACCGTGGTCAAAATATTTGATGAAATGTGAAGTGACAGCTTATTTTGTCTGTTACTACCTGTATTACTCTACTTGCGGAAATAAGTTTCTGTTGCGCGGAAACTGTACTTTTTTTTCTTTTTTAAGATTCTGCCAGGTATGCATTTATGTTTTCTGAAAAGTTTTACTAGGCTCGGGACCCATCTGGGTTTTGTATTGGACCAGTTAGAAGGAGAGGTAGATTTTTTTGCTGTGAATGACCCTTTTTACCGCTTAGAATTTAATTAGCAATAAGCATTTCTGATGATTTTAGTAGAACTATGTTTATAGTATTTTTCTGTAAGTTTTCTAGAAATTTATTACGCATAAAAAAAGTATGAATTACTTTGGGAGACAAAATTGAGCACTTAGAGCAAAACAATTGAGTAATGATGAGAACAAAGTTGAGCAGTTAAAAAGTTAGAGATTGAGCAACTGAGCAAAAGAAGAAGAAAAATTAGACGTATTAATACAAAAAAGAACATTATTTATATATAGTAGCATTTACAAAATTTAACCTAGACTACATATAATTCTCTTGAATTTCTCCCTCATCGTCCTCTTCCGTGGTTCCTGTCGTCATCGGCGCTGTTATCGGAAGTGGAAGTTCCTTCAGCCGATCCTGTGTTCCAGCTTTCTGGATCTTCATCCTCTCGCTTATCCGTCCATCTCCTGAAACCGCAAAGTTTTAAAGACAGTTCAGAAATAACGAAAATCAGGAATTAAAAAGGAAAAAAGCCGCATATTTTTGACCATTACGGGCTTTGCAATTCAGTAGTTCAGCCGTAACGTCCCGAAAGCAAACCCGACGAGGAATCCACTCTGGCACGTCCGTCCTCCGTCCGCACGTCCGTCCGTCTGAAACGCATTATTGCCTGAAATTAAGTTTTTTTTCTTAAATAATACGCGGCGAGTACATCTTACTGTTCGGTTTTTTTTTGTCAGTAGTATTCTTATTTCTTCGTCACTTGTTTTTCTCGCTTGTGCATACGTTTTTTGTGCGTATTTCTTAACTGTGAACTAGGCAGATTATTATTTTAGAACAAACTAATACTACTTCTCATAAATAGCATAGTTACTACACTAAAAACTACGGTAATGATACAACTTTTTACTTTCAGAAACACTACCCTTCTCTCCAAAACATTTCAGTAGAAGTATGAACTCATACTATTTTTGTCGCTCTTTCATGTCCCTCCTTCTTTTTTTTGATATTTCTTAATTTTTTTTTCTATCCTGACATCATTATTTCGTTATTTTTTGGTGAACTAGGTCTTCAGGACAGCCTAGCTTTTTCAGACTAGTCCAGACCCCATATTTTTTTCACATATTCTGTAACTGTCAAGTACGTGGATTCCTACAGTAAGAAAATTGACAGCTGTTTCCGCGGAACTAACAAAATTATTAAAGTAATTAAGTTACAAGGTATGTGTAAAAAACGTAAAAGGTCTCACATTTCTGCTAATATCTCGGCAAAAAGGAGGCCAAAAAGCAACAAATCTCGAAATCAAACAGACTATACACTGACAAACAATGTCTCTTAGTCACACCTCATTTACGTATAATATACAAAAGTTATGCATACCTTTCCGGAGCTCGCTCCCATAACTTCTAGTCATTTCCGTACAACACAGTGGCACTCCGCCAGAAGTCCTGGAACCTTCCCCAAAACAGTGCATTTTCCCGCTCGTTTCCTTGGAAGTGAAGTTAGAAATGAACGCGAGTATACTAATGAACAGTTAATTGGGAACTACCAAAAATTATTCCTCTTGTATTTCACAGCCGTTTATCAGTAGTGCACCACCATCACACAAACGATGCAAGACACAGCTTAAACATCTCCTACAAGCCATACTAGAAACTGGCAGATCTTTCACTACCCTTTTCCGCAAATTAGCAGCTAACCAATATTTCAGTCATTACCAATGTGCACATCCATCGAAAACCAGCAGCTAACCGACATTTCGGTCACTTCCAATGCTAACAACCATCGAAAACCTAGCGCTCTCAATTCAGTTCTCTCGACTTGGCACTTTGTCAAATTTTTTCGGCAATTCCGCTTCCCGAGCTGGCTCAGAACGGCAGTTTTAAATTTCTGAACAATTTAGAATTCCTGGTGTGACAACTCGACGCTCTCAGCTCCATGAGTTTTACCCCCATGAAGCAGTTAATTATCCGAAACTTGAGGTAATCTGGACCTGCAGTGTCGGAGTAACGATTATCTGAGCTGTTGGCCGCGAAGAAAGATTACCGCGTGCCGCTGATGTAACCCCTGTTTCGAAAACCCGCCTGCCCAATTATGGTCAGGAAAAATTCAGCTGCTGTAGCCTCGACTTAAGGCAGCTTATCCGAGTATTCTAAAGGTCTGCTCATTGTATTTGATCAAAGGCAGCAACTAAACAATGGATAAAAACAAAATACCAATTGGAAACCCAGGTAAATGGGAAACTTCCAATTACCAAGTGAACTTTGGCTACAGATCATAAAGAATGCAATGATAATTACAGAATTCTAAAATAAGAACCACAAGTTCCGGACAACAACAAAATAAGCCATTTAGTACGCCACAGCGTAAATTGTACGGCCGTCCTTTCATACGACGAGTACAAATATGCGCAAAAAAATAAACTCAATCATCCCATGGACAAAAATTATCATTCAACATAAGACCCCTTTAGGAGTCAATAATATTAGAAGCAGTACAGGACGAAGTAAAGGGCTAGCATACATTCTCACTTTGAACCTTGTTACAGAATGCCATCGAGTACTTTAAACTCCATGTTTTCAAAGCTGTTCAACTGAAACACAAAAAAATCTCAAAAAGTCCCAGCAATACCACATAAAAATGAAGCACTTAAGACAAAATCTTGAAAAGAATAAACTTTGAACTGAAAATTAATCACCAGTCAAACTGAAACTTTATTTTCTTCATACCAGTATCAAAATCGTAGCAATTTTTTTGCCAAAAAACCGACAATTTGCGGTCGTTTGAGAAATCTAAACATCAATATAATAAATGTTTCTTCCGTTATAACAACTAAGACCAGAGCTATACAACTAAACGATAAGAAATATATCTCCCAGCAGTTTCCGACGGTCTAATAATCTTTACCACTTGGCCCCGCCGTAATCCAAAATATCGAGCAACAGGATCACTCTGTTGAATACGCGGTAACTGACTTTCCTTTAGCTTGCTGGAAGTTCACATGGATATAAAAGTCATAATTTCAGATATTTGGGAGAAAATAAAAGTATAAATATACAATTTGAAATAATAACAGTACACTTATAAGAACTTTGAAATTAACAAGGTGACAAATAAAAGCAACTTTCTTTTTTTTTCCTATGTGTTCAATGAAGTGAATGGCTTACTATCTTGCTAACAATTCAGCTTTTTCCTCAATTGTCATAACAACGTGTTCTGGTACCAACTCATGTTCCGTAATATTGACCATTAATTCAGCTTCTAAAAACTGCTCTAGCATGTATTTAGGAGCCATATCACCAATCGCCTAAAACGAGACAGCACCTCCATATGAAAATAAAAGTCCTGCCCTTTCCAGTACGTAATTAAAATCATTTGGGTACAAAACCTGTTTCGCTGATGGAGTCATACCAGCCTGAACAACAATGATAGCGCGAGTGATTGCTTGCTCTTGCATTTGCTGACAAATTGCCTACAAAAGTAAAAGGTAAATTACTACAATACAGATCTAAAAGCCGTAACAAATCAATCGAATTTAAAAACTTTTTGAGATTTCACAGAAGTCTAAATACCGTTCTAAAATTACTCAAAAACAGAAACAAGAAGAAAATTTAGAGCGAAGTATTCCTTAAGTAAAGACACGAGAAACACGAAAAGGAGTAAAAGTTACCTTAATAGTTTTTATGCCTATTTTGGCATCTTCCGGGAAGAACACAAACATTTGATCAGTAGGATCATCATTATGAGCCACCAGAATCGTTAATTCATTACGAGACGGCTTCCTCTCACTCGGCCTGTCGCCAAACATTTCTTTAAAGTTGTCTAACGTTTGATCCAGCTCTTCTTGCGTTACCAGGTATCCTCTGTCATGACACATCTGGAATAGCGAAAAATATTCCCACAGATATAAGAACAAAATAGCGTATTTAGAGTATGGTATTCTCACACAGAAGTATCTACATAATTCTACCTGCATAATTGTTTTCCGAACTCGCCAAAGCTTGTAGGTCTCCACTTCATCGTCCGCCATAACAAAACTCCTAAAAAGACTAATAAGTGCGAAACAAAAGCAGCGAATATTGAAAGATGCCAAACACACTCGACCTTAAATACTAAGCACTGTAACCAAATGGTAACTAAAAAATCCGTTCCTCGCACAGAACAAGCAATGCAATTGTGAACGGGTTTTTGAGGAAACGAAACTAAATGTCATCAGCAGATTCTTGACTTCAACAGTCGAATTTTAAAAAATTATTTCAAAATTTTCTGGCAAATTTCCAGACGTACAGGAGTATAATTAGATCACTAGTTGCAGCCCAATATAAATTTTTTGAAAATTTCGCATTCACTGCTCCTTGACCCAGTTTACTGTATGTAAAGCGATTAGTAATAAGCGTACTACCTACGGATGTTTAATGATGGTATTTATACCACCTATAAATGGGTTTTTTTAGAATTTATTCTTTGTAGGGACAATCATGAAAAATTAGTGTTTAGCAAAAATAATTGAGATTAAACCATTCTGGATGAAACGGTCTTCCTGAAAGTCTGAAATGCGTCACTGAAAAAAATTTTTTTCTTGAAATTTTTGTTGAACATCTGCTCAAACGAACGTGTAATAGCCTACGAACGAATAGAACGAGATGTGCGTTCATGAATGTATATAGACTGTTATAATGCTCAGCAGTTAGTTTTACAATTACCGGAAACAGCAAATTTTTAGGCGTATTGCAGATGAACGATGATCTCCTGTGAATTATTACCGAATTTACACCGTAGATACTATACTGGTAAAAACTAAGTTTTTTTTCTAAATAAGAAGCAGTTGTCAGACTACTGTGAACAAAAATTACTGCTTTAGGATTTCTTCGAACCTTTTGACGTTGTTCATAAATAGCTGAAATAAAAGCGTGTATATAACTGCTAATAAAATAAGGGGAATTAGCAGCGTATAAACAAGAAAAAGAGTATTATTGCTGTAGAATTATTATATACGTAACAACACTATTAAATAATGAAACTTTTATAATTGTTTCCTTTTCAGTTAGTTAAGAATCAAGTTTTGTCATCTTACTGCCGCATATTCAAACACAATTGTACATGCGGATATTCACTGGTTGTTATTGGCATATTTTATAGATATCTATTAAAAAAATAAAAATTAATCCGCCGGTAGTACTATGGTTATTCATCTTAGTTTTTTAGTTCAACAGTTTAGGTCGCTTCAGAAGCTTTGAAATCAAAGTTTTTATTCATTTTGCATATTTTAAAATCACTTTTTAGGCATTGTTAGTCAACTATCCTTCTCTGTTCAAAACGGCAACATGGTTGATGTTTTTGATGACTAGACTAGTTAAAAGCCAAGCGTCTAAAACTTTTACAGACTATATGTATGTAAAGAAAAACATGAAAACACTGATTTATTTCTTTATTTCTAATGAAATTTTTGCGTGGTTTTCAGATAAGACTAATTGTTCGTTAAAAAGGCAAAACAGCATTCCTACGATGCCGCTTGTTTAAAGTAACCTAAGTGCTTAGTGTGCGGGTAGGTAAATATTAGAAAAAAAACTTGGGAATAACTTTCTGGAAGAAAAAACACAGATTGTCTGCAGTTTTTCGGCTTCGACTGTGTTACTGTTTGTTTCTCCGAATCGACGCTTCTGTACGAACCAAAAAGTTTTAACAACAGAAGTAGACGGGCAATACGTTTTTCATAAATAAGAGAAACCCAAAACAAGCTTCTGCTACTAATTTAATGATACAAATAAATAGTTATCTATCTTGATGAAACAGCTAAGGATTAAAAGGGCATAAAGAAACATAAAGCATACTGTTGTTAAGTATTAATTATTGTTGCGAAATATTTTCCCCTAAATAATTTGTTTGTTTATGGTTTCTCTTCGCCATGAAGTAACGTAAAACTTTTTTAACTATTAATTAGGCATTCGACGTCATCTGTGAAAGAAATGAAGAAAGGAGAACAATAAGATTAAAAAAAAAAAAGAAATCCAAGTAAAAAAAATGATACGAAATTGAACTTTTCCTTCTGTAAAACTGTTGTTTCTTTAACTCTTCTTAGTGTTGTCAAAGAAAAACAGAATAAAAAAAGTAGTTTTCTTATAGATCATTGCAAAGGTTAATTTAACTATATGATACCTTCTTATGAATAAGAATGATCAAGAAAAGAGCCGGTGAAGTAACGCAAAAAGCCCATCATATTCTTATTGGTGTCGTGGACATCGGTGTAATCATCGACTTGCTTTCCCAGCTTGTTACCAAAAAACGTTTGTCCTGAATTCAGTATGACTTGTTTAAATTTTTCGAAAATTTGATAAAGGTTTTTCTCTACTGTTCCACGTTTGTTTAATTCAGTGGTGTTCTTTGCCTTACACTTTTGGTAGATTTGGCGAAAACACTTTTTATCAACGAAAAGCATAAAATATTTTCAGTTTCTCCTCCGTTTAGCTCACAACGGGATGATTTTCCTTTGGAAACCTACAAAAATCCGCAGAAATTCCAAAGAAGCAGACAGAGCAAAAACGAGGAAATTATGAGACACCGAACAGAGGATCGGTGAAATGAATGAAATGAAGGTGGGGGAGAAGGCAGTGAGAAAGCGGAAAGAGTTGGATTGCATCTTCAAAATTACCAGACAAATGTTTCGTTAGGGAACGGCAGTGTTGTCACTGTTACAGTGCTTTATTTTGTGTCGAAAAGTCATCTATGCAGCAAACCGTAAAAGTTACAGTTATCATGTCTACTTCACCAACAACTGTCTTCAACCCGCTGCTGCTATAGTTTGCCAGCACCAAATCCATGACGAGGGGAAATCAGGAAGGCAGATTTTAAGGGAAGGAAAGAAGAAAGGGAAGCAGGACAGCATAGATGTTGAAGGGAGGAAGCAAGTGCAATGGGAGGCCGAGGTTTGGGGGAAGAGGGAGAGAAAGACAGGATGAACACAAAGAGAAGAGAAGGAGGTTGAGGAGAAGGAAGAGGAAGAAAAATTAGAGGGAGAAAGGCAAGGGAACCTAAAAGAATTTCTTATTTTCTTTTTTGCTTTGGTGTGGCTTTCACTGGTTGCTTAGCGACCGAAAAAACCTGCTAAGTATTTCAGTGGTATATGAAACATTAAAGGTGTGTTTCGAGCTTTTTATATCCATCTACCAAATACATTATACACATATATTTATATTTATCTATACATATATATTTATGTATGTATAAATCATTCTTTAAGCCATAATAATTTTTTTCTTTATTTTTGTTTTTTTTTTCCTTCGTCACTATTGCTGTTACTGTAAATAAATTCGCAAGAAAATAAAATTAGTTCGCGAAGAAATGTCCGGTGATACATGGATGGCTCAAAACCTTCGAAAACAGGTCGCTTCAATTCATTCTTCTTTTTTGGTTGTTGTTTTAAGTTGTTTATTTCTTTCTATAAGTTTTTGAAGAATCTTTTTTTAGGCCATTGGGTCGCATTTATTGCACTTTTTTATATCTTTTAGCCCTTTTTTCATTCAACTTCCGTTTCCCCTCTTCCCCCTTCTCTTCCATATTTCTCGACTTCTCCCATATAATGCAACCTTAGTAACCAAATACTAGCGGAGTAGAAGAAACACAGAAAGACACAAAAATAACTGAAAAAGGGCTGCGTACATTTCGATAGCAGAAAAACATAGCAAACAGAAAACAGCCAACAGAAGAAGAAGAAAAATCTTTTTTAGATGTCTTTCATAGTAACGTAAAATGTTTGAAGGAAGAAAGAATAAATAAGCTCTTTAAGAATTATGTCATTAGTTCCAATAATTGTTTATTTCATTATGTGACAAAACTGCTTACGACAAGTCTATTTTTTTTCTGCCCTTTCTAATAGTTTAACTAAGGCTGACTGGTAGGCTAAAGGCTAACTGTTACTTGATGTTGGTTGATAAGCAGCAGTCCGTGAATGTCAACAAAGGTAGTGTTGCATTTTAGAAGCTGCTGTTAGAAGAAAAACAACGCCAAAAACGCTCTTTGTTAGTCGGTCTACGATCCAACGACTTGCCGAAAAGTTTGAAAAAAACTCCTTTCAACGGTTCCAAAAACCCCATCGAAACCGCATTTTATGACGGTCCTTTAGCCTATAAAGACGGTGATCCAGACCGGTTCTCCTGTGAACATCTTCAGCTGCAACCAACGTCGGAACAGCTTGACAAGCAACGCAATGAACTGCATTCTGTGGGTCAGTCGTCAGAATCTTCGGCTACCGGACCGTCTGCAGCTGAAGGGAACTCAAAAAGTAGGAGCGGTCTTGATAGGTAAGACAAATCTTCAATTTATAAAATTTAGATTGTTTTTATATTATTTTGCCAACAGCATATTCAGTAATGGTTATGTACTATCTTCAAATAGGTAAGTTCAAGACTCAAATTTTAAAGCTGTTTGTCAGTGTGTAAAAGTCAAGCAAAAATTTCTTGTTAGAATACGTCAGCATATCTTCACCTAAACAATTCAGCATACGATTGTAGCCATTTGGTGTACAAATTGAATTTAATCAAAAAATTTTAGTGAACAGATTTCAATAACCTTCTGGCAACTGTTTCTACTTTAGTTCTTCGGATGAAGAAATTCATGATCTGAGTAAGGATATGGAAGATAATCTGATAACAGCTGTTGTACCGTCAAATGAGCCCTCTAAATGTAACAGTAACCACTGGGAAGACGACGACATTGAAAGTGTTCTTGCTGGTAAACTGTTATAGTTTCAACTTTTTGGGTTTTTTAGGAAAGATTTGACAAAAAATAAAATTATTTCTGAGGAGTTTAGTTTTTTTTTTGGTTAAGAAGGAAAGAGGAAAAAATGTTAATGTGTTTAGTTTGAGCAGAAATTTTGGTGTTGAACCATTTGTTCAGTAAAATAGCGGCAGAAAAGACTGTGATACAGATATTTCACGGAAATAATGCTTGTTATTATCAGTTTTATTTGATATTTTTTAGTCTTAAAAGAAGATTTTTAATATTGTTTTTTTAGTACTTTATGTCTATCTTGCAGTTTTTACAGATCTATTGCTAATTATCTGAAATTCTACATGATGACTGTAAGCACTGGGTTTTTTAAATCTATCAGTGGTTACCATTAGTGTTTTTGACACTCAATGAAACCAGAAAACATTTCATTTAATAATTTAAGTGGGTGACAAAAAAATGGCTATTTTGGCTGCAGTAAAATTGTTTTTTCTTTTTTTCTTTTTGTTTGGTTTAATTCTGAAGACTGAAATAAATTTAAAATGGCAGAAATATTCTGGCGTTTCTGTTTTGTTTGCTGTTTAACAGGTAAAGTTTTTTGCTTCTGACTGCTTGATGAAAAGCAGTGATTTTGGGGAGGAGGGCTAAGTTACACTGGTGTAATCCAATGTTTTGTTTTCTTTTAAACAATTGCTAAGTAGGAGCATTTTATTCAAGATTGAATTATTAAAAAAAAAAAATGACTGAGCAACTTTATTTTTCAATCTTTTTTTCAGTAGCACTTCTCAATTTCTATTTCTTTTTGCTAAGGTTAAGAATCACCGTGTGACTCCCCGAATCTCGTTTTACATTTAGAGTTTCCACTCTGTCAAAAATTTTCACTTAGTTTTAGGCACTGTTAACAATTTTAACTCTAGAATATGTTAAAACTAACTTCTTTTTCTTAAGGCTAAGTACCGTATACTCCTTTTCCAATAGTTTTGCAACTTTAGAAGCAGAAACAAACTTTGAAATAAAGAAAAGACTTGAATTAATTTCAACAAAGCAAAAATATTGGTGTGTTGTATTTCTGTAAATTATTCCAATTATGGCACTGGTTGTAAGTTTTTTGTTTTTTGTCAAAAAAAGAAATGGTAAATATCTATTTTTTCTGTGGACGAAGAAAAAGTGTAAAAGAACAACTTTACTCTTTAATCAAAAATTCTTTTAAAGTAGAAAAAGAGGATGAGCAGTAGTATATTTCTTTATTCTTCAGTTTTTTTCCTCTTTAAGACCGAGATGTCTAATTTTAAAGAACTGAGTACGAAGATGATCGGTATGAACTTATGTTACACTAGTTAAATCACAGAAATTTTTTAACTTGTTTTTTTTTTTTTTTTTTTTTTTTTT